TGTTTTGCAAATATATAGGAAAAATCTACAAAAGAATGAGGAAGAAATGTAATATTAGGGGTTATGAGAAAGCTAGAGATAGGGCTAACTGGCATATGTGGACTGAGAAAAATGAGTTGACAAGCCAGCGAAACTAGAAATGTCAAAGATGAGATGTATGACTTTCATTGAATAAGTGGAAAAAAGGGATGTAACTCACAAAGTGACAAGATGACACAGATGTACACTGCGTATAAAAAGAACATTTCACCCTCGTTCTCCATGAATTTCATATTCACTAAACCCAATTGTGCAAGATACTGTCTATCTTTGCAGCCCTCAGCTACAGGCTCTTTGTTCTTTGAAGCTGTTTCAATAAGCATGCTGGCTGGAAGAGATATCATTCAAAGCAATAAAAGATCTGTTGATCATATCTTACACGTCTAGCAAACGCTGTGAACATCCTTAACAACCCTCCTGAGAGCAGTCAGCAGTTACTCTTCTCTAAGCCGGGAAGGGGTAGGGATTTGCAGGCAGGACTCAGCTGATCATTGTTCTCATAAAGAGACCAGAAGAAAACCATGGATTATCATGAGCTTCATCTTATTTACAGTAAAATTATTAGTAGTACAATTTGAATCGTCAAAGGCTGGAGGAACTGTGCTCTACTTTGGTTGTTATGTCCCTCATCTTTGGTGACTGCCCTATACTATTATTAAAGATAATGTGTACCTTAATCTTGACTTGCTCTGAGACTAACTCTTGCAGCTTCAAACATTTTTCCTGTTTCTTCTTTTCTTTTCTTTTCTTTTCTTTTCTTTTCTTTTCTTTTCTTTTCTTTTCTTTTCTTTTCTTTTCTTTTCTTTTCTTTTCTTTTCTTTTCTTTTCTTTTCTTCATCCTTATCTTTCTGGAGAACAAATATCATCCTATTCACCTCTACTTTCCTTTTTGCCATGGTGAAGTGTGGACAGAGTCTTGCATATTTGCTATTCCCTTATATTGAAGAAAGGTGGAGATAAATTCAGACCACGCAATGAGTCTTTCTGACTTTATAAATCCTAAATTCATTTCCTTAAATCTTCTTTGGTAATCTTCTTCAGTACTCCTAACTTGTAAGATGTTTCCCTTTTTGTGAAAATTCATTTAGTTTACAAGAAGCATTTTGAATCACTTTTTTAAACTTCTCTAATCCTTCACCAAGGAAGGTCTCAGAATTCACCATTTTCCCTTGAACTGTCCTCAGCTGACAGAATTAACAGCTGGCTGAATCAGCTTCCACTTCATCATTCAGTAAGGCATATCTCTACAGAGGTCTTTTGCAAGAAATCTTCATATCTCTTAACCAAGAATTACAATGAAAGCCTGCTGAAGTAATTTTGCTATATGACTTGATACATGGGTTCATATGTAGCTACGCAGTTATTGCTGTGGCTCTGCAAGACTTCCTGAGGATAGGTCACCAATCATGGGAGCAGAAGATGTATCTCACAGTCACAGAACAGTTGAGGTTGGAAATGATCTCTGGAAATCCTCTCTTCCAACAGTCATCTGGAGAATCTCTTCTAGCAGTAGACATCTGGCTCCTTTGGTGGACATTTCCTTCCCATATCTGGTGACAGACTCAACCAAGCCAGATTAGGATGTATGCCTGAGCTTTTTGCAGAACTAGAATCTATAAGCCCAAATAGAAGTCTCAGTGCACATAAACAGATGCGGACTAAGAAAAGTGTATTTACACTGCAGAGGTTTTACAATTGTTTTTAAACAAATCACATCAAAACTTAAGAGATAATGCAAAATCTACATAAGCAGAAGAGGGGCTGTTGGGTAAAAAAAACAATATGCTAGTGATGTTGGTGAACTCAGTATGCCATCAACTTATCAGTCTTCCACCTTTGAGGGTCTCAGAACAATGTGGCAGAAAATGGGGCAAAAAGCTCCATCAGTCACGAAGGGGAATTAATGACTATTATAGAACTAGTATTCCTATACAGCAAGTTCATCAGTTGATTTGTTTCCATAGGAACACAAAGTGTCTAGTTTGCCATTCCCAGTGAGAAGGAAGATAAGACTTTCTGGTTGGAAATGGGAAAGGGACAACAAACTTTTATTACACGTTTTTTTCCCTTTCCATCCATCTTTTTAAAGCTAGACAGTTCTGGCAGGACCACTGGAAGCTGGTCACTTCCAGTGCTTTGCTCTATTTAATCTATCAGTCAGTTCTCTCATCTGCTTCCAAGCTTCATTTGAGTTCATAAGGGCCTGAAGATTAAATTAAGAGTGTCATGGGGATGCTTTAATCTTGATTTTACTTTCTCTGTATCATGATTGTCATTCGGTTCAATCGCTCTTTGCTCCCAGCAAAGGTATTTTGTATTCCTTTCACACTTACCTTCCTCAGTAATGTATCTATTCTATTTTCTTTTATAAAACATAGTTTCATATATTTACATCTGATCTTAAATTTTACTTCTTAAAATTTGTACTCCATGGCAGTAATGCATAACGCTTTTATATAAATTTAAACCTTCAAAACTTTTGAAGGTGTACTGATAAACTTTCACATTTTTTATCACATATTCAAGTGGAACTTAACCGTTGGGCTCATTCCATCACTAAGGTTTTGCAGTGCCCATTAGCACAAAGTACACCCTGCAGGACACCAACTTGCTTATCTGGAGCTGTCTTCAGTTACAGGTTACATTGCTTTAACTATACAAAATTATAAACTCACTACTACAGATGTAGCTTTATCACTGTGAAGGTACTTTATATGCTTTTATTTATTCTTGTAGAGAAAGGAGATTTGTAACAATATAAGTGTGCCTTTATCAGAACTTTGGTTGGCTACTACTACACTAACAACAAAATACGTGTGGAATATGTTTAGTAATTAAACCTATATATTTTAAAGCTAACATTTCATTATATCATCTCATTTTTTCCAAGAGCTTAGTGGCTTAAATTCTTCTTTCCTTGGCTCAGTTAGCGAGAAAAATAGTGGCATTACGATATTTATAGAAGCAAGATGTGTACCTCATTTCGTCTGCTTGATGTTTTCTGCAAGGCAGACAATCAAAGACATCTTTTCAAGGAGGAAGAAACAGGAAGCAAAACAGGGACAGAGGTAAGTAGACCATGAGAAGAACTATTAGCTAGGAGATGCCCCTGATTAGATACTACCACATAAGCATCCCTGTGCTGAAAGCCTAGGATAAGAGACTTAAAGATGATGGTATATGAAGCCAGAAGGACTGAACAATTTTTGCATGTTTCCTATAGAGCCGAATCTGTGAAACAGAGATACAGAACTGTAGCAAGCAGAATGAGTCTCCCAGGCAAGTGGGAACGAACCTGCATTATTGATAGAGGATTAAACCTAGGAAAAGAGATATGGGTACAGAACCTAGCTCCTTTTGTTCATCTTCCCATATGCACTATTCCTCTTTGCAATTAAATACATTTTAAAAAATATTTTTTATTTTGAAGCAGTTGTTATTATGCCACTTTTGTCAATCAGTTACAGGTCACTGGAGATAAAGGTCATGCAAGTTCCAAACACATTTGTGACTGCCAGGCTAAAATGGCTATTAAACAGGAGAAGACTCAGTGATAGGGCTGGAGGGTAAGACTGATTCTTAGCAACAGCATTTTTAAACCAGCATAAAAAGAACCTAAGACAGAACTGCCTGGCCAATCTGACTTTGTATAGTAGCTACATCAATAGAGGAAGTTTTAAAAGAAGATATTTTAGAAAAAAAAGAGGATTTTTCTTGATAAAATATAGGATTTTCCAAATAAAATTGAAAAGATGTATTTATATTGCATACTTTGCATACTTATGCTACTCAAAGTGGACTTTATTCTGTGGTACTATTCAACTCATGCACAGATCTTAACAGGTCAGATTTTTTGACTAGTATAGCTTGAAAAGATCTCTCTCAAAAGACATCATCCTTCAAAGTCTGCAGTCATAGCCATATGTTTCCAAATATGTGATTCCAGACCTTATTAAAAACACAACCCTTTTTTTTCCCCCTCATCTTTAATTACATTATGGTTAATAATATATGGCATGTCTTTTTGTTAAGGACAACTAACTGCAATAGTACTACAGTACATGAAAGCATGAAAACACAAGTGAAGATAGTGAAGAGAATCTCACACATACAGATTCTTGGTGGATTCTTACACGTGGATTCCCCTACTCCTTTTTTTTTTCCACTCACTAATCTGTAATGTGTTAATCTATTAATATGCCTTGATAACTTTATGTCCTCCTTTTGTAAAACTGGGCAGATGAGAAGTATCTACTTTTGATGAGATTATTTTTCCCACATAGAATGTATATTTTTCTCATTATGGAATTTTAGGTGAATGCTGTAATTTTATTAAAATTGGTATTTGAATGTGCTGCTATTACTACACTTCTACCAATACAGGACCCATACAAACAAATAGTGAAAGATGATCACGGCAGAGAAAATTGAATAATATCAATAAACAAAGGTGCCAAGTACGAGGTAGGCAATTTACTTAAAATAGTAAAATAATACAGATCAGCTCCTACGTTTCATAACTGTCAAATGAGTGACATACATTTACTGCTTTGCTTTTGTGATTGCAAAGTAAATGTTAATCATGCTGATGAGAAATACCAAATTCATTGAAAGAGATTTTAAGGTGCTCGGATTCAAATGACAGAGGATAAAAAGACAAAAATGTACAACAAAGCAAAATCTGCTATCCGCAAAATGTAATATATTTATTTCCCAAAGAAACTGCACAGACCTACTATATATGTCAAGTGATTTTCCAAGTCTTCCTAAATAGTTTATACTATCAATCAGACGTGTTTGGCCTTGGTTGTTCAAAACATATTCAGAGGCAAAACACTGCTTCCTATTTGACCCCATCACCAAATATATCTATTATGAAAACGCAGTTCACAGAAACTCTTACAATGCAGTTCTTGGAATTTTTGCAATAGGCTCAGTTTCAAAAGAGCAAAATTACTTACCCTCATCCTTCCATTTCTTACTGCTGGGCCATCTTCTGCTAACCGCAGCACATACAAATCCATTTTGTATTCCCTTCCTCCTCGAATACTGAACCCAAAACCTTTGGCTCCCTTCTCCAAATCAACTGTGAAATAATCGAAATCCTGTGTGGACAAATATAGAAGGAAGCACAATTAACCATATGAATATGAATAGACTGATTTACATTCAAGAAAATACCTCTCTTAAGATGCACAGCTACCCACTAACATATGCAAACACACCTTCCAGGTGTGCAAACACACCTTTGCACCGGCAAGAGCAAGGAGATCAAGAGCGCCAATTTTGGTCATTTAAAGAGAATTTAGTGAAATACAGATGCCTAAGTCTAAATTACTAAATCTAAATTAAAGTCTCCAAAAATGTCATCATCGAGCAGCTGCCTGGTACCTAAAACTCTCTGTGCTGGTTCCATATTCACGTTCAGTACAGTATTTTCCTGGTAGTGTGTTCGTGTCTATGCAGAGGTGCTGATTTGGCAAGTGGGGAAGCAGGCAGTTTCTGTATTAGAAGCAGAGCAAGCCCACAACGAGAAGCAGAAGTGCTCCCTAAGTCAGGAGGAGGTGGAAAGTGGAAGATCCAAATCCTAACTGCATCCTAACTGTGAGCACGGTTTGTGTAGACGTTTTCAGCAGCACTGTTGAAACACATTTTGGCCTAAGCACATCCCCTGTACGATGACTGGATTATGCTTTTAGAAAACTAATAACTTCTGCTGTGGCAAGGGCAGCCTATCTGGGAACTTCTATTTTAACTGTCCAGTACCTTAAAAATAGCATTTATTTGAGATTCTAGCCATGCAGTTATAAATGTTGTGTTATTTTATAGATTGCGCAGTTCTTTGTTAATTGTAATGATTGCGAACTAATTCTCTCTGCAGAGAAATAGCATCTCAGAGTGAAGAGAAAAAAACGGAAAAAGGTGTTTTTTTCTTCCCTAATGTCAGTTGTTTGGATAGCACACACAGCCTCTGCCTCCAAAACGTACTGTTTTCTGTGGAAGAGCACTGTAACTACTTCAGTTTGTACCTGGGGCTGCCTGTAGTCCGACAGAGGGTACTGCCTGGTGTCGGGTGAATGCTGCCTGTAGTCCAGCAAGGGCGGCTGCCTGTAGTCCAGCGGCGGTGGCTGCTGGTAGTCCATCACTGGAGGGTGCCTGTAGTCCAGCGGCGGCTGCCTGTAGTCTGTTGAAGACTGCCTGTAGTCTGTAAACGGAGGTTGCCGGATATCAGGTTTCACATCCTGCCTTGCTTTTACTTCTGACCTATAACTGAGCAAAACGATGGCGTTTCAGAAGGCAGCGGAACGTGAAGAAATATGCATTGCTTGTGATACTGAGGAGCGCGGGCAAATTGCCTGGCTACAGAATTGCAGAAAATAAATTTTCACAGATAAGCAAAGCTTTCTAGGGTAAACATAGAGGCATCCAAATCAGTGACCACTTCTGAAATGTGAGCATGAGCAATTTTCACTTAGGTTGTTCTGTGCAATTTCCCAGCTGATATCAGTGAGATCGGGATTAGGCTCAGAGGAACAGGAGCAGCAAAAGCATCAGATTCCCACTTATCTTGACTAACTGAAAGAAGAAACTGCATTAGAAAAAATACACATTGCAAAATAATCCACTGAGCTTATGAAGTGCTTTTTCCAGAAGGAAGATTTCTATAGAATAAACAAAAAATCACTGCAGACACTGGCTATCCCCTGCGTTTTATTGACACAAGCTCTTATTACTGTGAATACTTACATTTCAATGAGGATGAATAAGTTGTGCTAGACATTACCTTTTCAATAAAAGGTATTCTTTGATACAACATCCGCTAATGTAGAATATACTGTACATACCCTACAACATTGTCTGGCTACAAGCCTTAACAGGTCATGCTAGTAGCTACTAATAGAGGTGTCACAGCATAAAAGAAGCAAAAAAAATGGTTGATGAAATGTTAATACAAATATCATTTTAATTAATAATTTTTAATTAATTTGGTGGTTGAAGGAAGTCAGTTCCCAACATTTCAAAGAAAATTTGACTTTCTAAAGTACAGAAATTAGTTCCTCAGATGGAGAGGAATGGATTCCTTACCACCGTGTATGGTGCTTCCCTTTCCCCTCAAAACCCTTCCTGCCTCTAAAAGGGGAATCTGTGCACAATTTCATTTCTTACCTGGGTTTGTAACATGCTGAATGGGCCTTAAAGGAAATCCTGAATACATTTAGTAAGGTGCCTCTGTAATAGCAGTTTGAATTAGATTTAACAAAAAAATTCATGATAGACATCTCTACAGTTTAACCACAGGAGCAGAAGAAAGTATTTTTTTTTTCTTATATATTTCAGACTCTATCTTAATAAGGAAGAGTCTGGAAGCTTTTTGGCTGTCAAGTGACCATGTGCATATAGATACACATGCAGCCACAGGGAGGTGTTTAGACTGCGAAAGGGATTTTGAAACAAAACTATTGAGTCAAATTCACTTGACATCTTGAATGACACCAGTGTTTTTGTTCATATTAATTTACCTCTGAAAAGACAATGCTCAGCAAGCTAACATTTCATAATGTTTCAGATCTAGCATTTCAAAACTTTGCTATTTGATTGGTAAAGTTACAGTAACATTACAGCAGGTCGTCCTACACACTAGCTTTAATTAGCTAGATGTCTCACCAGAAAAGAAGAAACAGAGCTAGTTCCATTTGACTTTCCTGAGAAGAAGAAAACATCCTACTGCCACAGGTACTCTTAAACCCATACATGGCATCTACTGAAAGATCTGCACAAATACATGCAATCCTCTTATTTTCTGTACTTTGTGGCATGATCCGATGTAACAAGAAGACTGAAAAGAAACAGGCTTACTGCAACATCACACCTCATTAACATGGAAAGGAAAAATACCAGTTATAATTCCTAAAGATTTTATATATCGTTTATTATTCTAACTTTGACTGATGCAAAAGCAATATATGTACAAATTGTAAACTCACTTAGAACATGTAGTGAAATGTCAGCCAACAAAAATGAACTTTCTTCTGGAACAAGAATCATCCTTGGGCGGGTTCCCCATGTACAGCTGCACCCAAGAGGATGATGCTTTTATTTACTGTGGTAGTCACCGTAATTCTTGTTGAATATGTAAATAATGACAGTTTACAGTTTATCCTTCTCAATAAAGTATTGAGAAGCATAATTACAGAACTTGTTTTTTTGCAAGTTTAATTAATATAGTTTACACATCTCTTCTGAAAGCCCCCAATTCACTAGGCACTTATTACTGCCTTAAATATCCCAGAGAGGCTTTGTGAAAGTTTTGCATTGGATTTGGCCAGAAGCATATCTTTCCGAAGAGGTGACAACTTCTGGAGACGCATCTGATAAAATAATAAAGGAAAGAAATTTGAAAAGTGTGATTAAATTAGAGAAAGCTACTTTGGATAAGTGAAAAAGGTACATCCGTTAAGCAAGGCGAGTTAGGATGCCCAGCGCCTGAATCAACTGAATACAAGTACTCCTGAAAGCAAAAAGCTAAAATTTTATAGCTGGCATGTAATATATTGGGGATGAGGGTCCTGGTGAGGTAGGTTACTTACTGGAGATGAGCACAGGGGAGTGGATTCATCCTCATTTAACGATTGGAGAACAAAGGGAGTTAAATACATAATATATCTAAGTTGAATTCTGCATTAAACGCATGTAGCTAACGCGCGTGCTCCCCGCGGGGAGGCTGCGGAGGAGAGGGCTGTCACGGCGCCGCGGCGGCCGCGGGGACAAGCAGGCCGGCGCGCGGCTTCCTGGGGATCCCCCTCCGGTGTTTGTGCCTTGTTGCTTTTGCTATCTGGGCTCGTAATTGGATTTGGGCTCCTGCTGGTATTCTCTGAGAGGGGAAAGCTGGGTCACTCTGGTAATTTCAATTGTGACCTTCATTATTTAAAACCCAATTGGACGGGGCACAAATGGCTTCCATGCTTCGTGATCTCTTTTAAAGTCTAGAAATATTGATATTTGGAAACTTTTCATTTTGAGAGAATGAGTGATTTTGTGGCTTTCACCACTCTCATGGGGTGACAGACTGTTGCCACAGACGCTGAAGCACCACTGGGCTCAGGTGGCTCCAGCTGCCTTGGAGCTCAATAAGAATTTCTTCTCTTTCCTAAATCTTTGGGGACAGTAAGCAGCAAAACCAATCTCAAAAAATGCTCCCTAACCAGCTAAACTGATGCTTTATTTCACAGATTTGTGCCAAATGACCAGGGATTCGCATAGGAATGCCACAGAAACCCAAAGTCCCTCTCTGAACAACATATAATTCAGAGAGACTGGCAGACTGAGAAAAGAATTTGGCTCTGTGGCCTGGTTAATAAAGAGGGGCCAATCTTCCTGCAGGTTTCCTCCTGCCCTAGGGGAAGATATATTGGGCCTTAAGCTTATATCAAATGTGTTTCTCCTAACATATTGGCAGGGTTATGCTGCTCAGCATCTCCCTACAAACATGTGTGCATGAGAGTCTGCTCACATCAGGATGGAGGGCTGCAAGTTTGTCCTCAAACTGTATGTTTCTAACGACTCGCTAATGATTTGTATTTATAATTATTTTTAAAAAATCTGGATTCTTTAATAAAAATCTTTTCAATTAAAGCCAATTTGTCAAAAAATCCTGCCTATTTGCATGCTCCTCATGCAGGCACAAGCAGTGTCTTTGCTATGCTTAGGTCTTGCACTGCCTATTTTGCATGTGTATGGCGAATGTTCACAGATAGACCTTGGGAATATTGTCCCTCATTTCTACATTACTCTCATAACTATGGATGAACTAGTCAAATCATAAGCTGCTTCTAAAACTGCTTTGCATTTATATGGTATTTTTCACCTGAAAGTGCATTACAGAGCTCAGATTTTTTTTTTCCTAATTCTATACACTGGGATACTAATACCCAAAGATAAATGAGGTGTGCAGTGTCACATAGTGTAGCAATGGGGCAGCCAGGCCTGGGACACAAGTTGTTTCTCATCACTAGCAAAACAGCCCAGCCTGGACAAGACTTCTCATGTTGGAGCAGGTTTAGGAGCATCTCCTGAACGGGCAGAATGGTTGTACTTCTGTATGTTTGGATGGGTTTTGCTCCCTGGATTCATTTAACAAAGTAGGTAAGTGCTCATATTTGCAGTCCCTGGCCAGTGTCAGACTATTTCTTGTCCAATTGCCGGATTCAGCAACAGGAAGCAGAGACCATGGCACTTGAGCATGGCTCATGAATTATCCTTCTTGCCGTGCAGGGCATTCCCAGCTTTATTAGTATTTGTTGCTGAGCTGTAAAGCCAGAGTCTCATTAACACAGGACTATTCACACACTGGCAGAGCAGCTCTCCAAACCAGAACAAAACAAAACAAAAAAATCCTCTGAAACCAACCCCATAACTCCCAACCACATATCAAGTCTCTTCCCTTATCCTCACCCTACAAAGGAGATATTTTAGGGTTCATTTCTTTCTATCCTTGTGCACTCATAGTGACAAGCAAGTGTGGAGGAAATGACCAAATCAGACCTCTTCCCTGTCATCACTCTTTTGTCACAGGTAGTTGAACGTGCCCAGTGGTGACACGGGAGTCCCTTGTGAGTCACTTTGTGTAAGGGTTTGGCATAGAGTGCGATAAAAAAGCAGTGAACGACAAAAGGCACCTCTCACAGGGTGCTTTTCCGTGCAGTGGAAATTCTTCCAAAAGACAGTAAAACTAACTCTCTAGCACTCTGCTCCCTCTCATGTTTCTCTGGAGTCTCTTTAAATACCAGCTCATAACTAGAAATAGTTTCAAGAATTTGGATTTTATTCTAGCTAGATCTAAGGCTGTAATTTCCATGCACTGTATGTTACAGCTGAGTATGTGAAACAAAAGACGCTCTTTCAAGGGGTGACATAATTCAAGCTAATTGGAGGCTACTTAAAATTTTCTTCCTGTTTTTCAGGGCCATTGACTTACCCTCCTGAGGAATGATGCGGAGTGTTACGCTGAGACCTGCATCTTTAATTAGTTTCACAATATCTGCATGAGGCATGTTAATGATAGACTGGCCATTCACAGCTAAGATCCGGTCTCCGACTTTAAGTTTTGCACAGCGATCAGCAGGACTTCCATCAATTATCCGTCCTATTTTATGGGGGACAGCTGGGCAAGGAAGAACAGTCACAGTTAACATACGCTGCAATAAGTGATGATGATGTCCACAAACAAAAGAAAATAGTCTCATTTGGAAGAAAGCTCCATGTGAATTAAAAAAGTTTGTGTATAAACCAGTCGTTCTCACAAAATAATCATTTGCATTAACTCTGTAGAGGTTTCATTAAAGATTCAGCACTCAGATGTGCATATATACATGGCATATATGCATAAGGCCCAAAACCCACCCACAGTTTGGCTGGTTTACAAACCTGGCGTGTAGCAGGATCGTAAGCAGTCCAGGAGAACAGGGCATTGCAGCAGCAAAAAGGATAAATATGCACGATAAGCACAGCCCTAAGTTGCCTCCCACCCCCAGGTTTCCCGAATTCCTTTATCTGTACGTTGCAGTAGAAGCACCACAGGCAGGATTTACTTCACACACAGATTTCACTACTGAAAACACCCTGGGCTCGCTAAATTGTTCTCCTCCTCCTCTCAGATAAACAAGAATCAGACCAGAGGTTTATTGAGATGTGTAGCTTTCTGCTCACACATGTGCCAGCATGAAATTATAGGCAGTTATGAGCAGCACAGAGACACATTTAGATACGACAAATAGATACCGCTGCACATACATTCTCGGAACAACTTTGCTTCTCTTTTTTCTTTTTTTTTTGTGGTTCTCCAGCTTTCTGTATGCTGCATGCAGCCTCCTGTTCTCTGTCTTTTTCCTCATTTCCCAGTGAGTTTTCTGAATATTGCTTGCAATCTTTCTCCCATTTATTCCCTACTCTCCTCTGTTTTTCCCTAAATTGAACTACTACAGCTGACTCATCCCTTCATCTAGACTCAGTGTGCTACTTTTCTTTCTCTTTATTACTCATAAATATGCTTATTGTAATTAACTATGTATTTTATTAATATTGTGTTGCAATTAAGCTTAACTATGTAGTCTATTAATATCACAAAGGTGTGTGAGCATCCCCTACCAGTTCTACACTTAAATCTTGGCAAATCTTGGTTAGGGAGTGTTAAGCCTCACTACCCACATCCAATTGGTGTTTAATTTTTTTTCTTTAAAATAATAAATTAAAATTTCTAACATCTAAAGAGAACTGCAAAATACAAAAGAAAAGATCAATTAAACAGTTCTGGGGAAACAGCGAGGCTATCAATGCTCATGTGAAGCAAATTGAGAACAGGAGATGTGTTCAGAATACTCCAGCAACACAACCAAATTTCTCAGCCCTGTGATAAACATTCCTTGAAGGTGGTGGTGACAAACACATATTGTACATCTTAGCAAAATCGCAACACACACACCTCAAAGTGACTTTTGCTTGTAGCCTGGACGAAAGTGTTGTTCCCAGTGCTAAAAAATAATTTTCTGAGAGCTAAAAATACAAGTGAGTATTCTGAGTGCAACCAATAATCAAACTGCATGCTTCTTTACCAGTAAAGTTCAGGCAGGAATACAAATTAAATTATGGCTCTAGTCACTATTGACACAATAAGCACACTTCAGAAATGTCTTGCTGCTCAGGAAATAAGCACCCACTTTATATCACACTGTCTAAGGCCATTCTCTACACTAAAATAGCTGAAACATGAATAGCCAGATTTTGCACAAAACCCACTAAAACCAACGTTGGAGAGGAAGGGCCACAAAAGTCTGATTCACCTGCAGATCCAGAGAAAAGTGAAAGGGAGAGAAGGAGGAGAAAGAGGAACTTTTCTTCCCCCTTTTCTTCCTTTGAAGCCTCAAGGCCTTTGCATCCCTGAAGGAGGTTTCTGCTCGGGTTGTTCAGATATTGCCTCAGCCCTTTCACTCCTCCTGTGCAATGCGTAGGGCCAATGGTCAATAACTTTCAGAACAAAACTCTTGTCTGCCAAAGCACCTTTTTTTATTGTGGTTTGAGTTTGGAGGCTTTACAGTTCAATGCATCCCCCTGTTATCTTGCTGCAGGAGCGCAGGAGTGTGCGAAGCTTCTCTAGGAAGAGGCCGATGCTCAGGTACCGATGAAGGCTTGTGAAGGAGATGGGATGGCCCAGGGACACCCAGCAACATCCCAAGGAGCTTCTAGTGTCCACTTGCTCTCCCTGAGGGAGATCTGCCCCTGGGTCTCCGTTAAGGCACAGAGTCCCACCTGAGGTCACACAGGCCAGAAGTGGGGGCTCGTGGTACTTATTTTCAGACACAAATCAACTGCAGGAGGATGTAGGGATGCATCAGGGCTGCAGCTTATTTGATGGGCAGGTTGTTCATGCAGAGGGGATTGCTGGTATTTTAGAAAACTTTTGGAAAACTTCTAAGAGCCTTTGGAGGTGAAATATTTAATGAGAAGGGATAAGAGCTCCTCTCACATGGGATTAATTAAATAAAAGCTAAGGAACAAAAGGTAGAAATGAACTGTGAATTTCTGTAATTGGTAAATTTTACTGTTCAGAACGGTCACATCTAAAACTGGTGTGGAAGAGCTGTAAAACTGGCGGTACTGAGCAGGCTGTGTGAAGTGGCAGACAAAAATCTCATGCAAAATGATGGACATGGGGAAAAAATAACCCTAGCTAAGCCGAGGCAGGGATGGGCCCTAAACTAATGATTATAACTCAGGAAAGAGAACTTGCCAAAAATGCAGCTGGTTCCCTAAAAGCACCATCCAAGTAAAATGTTGAATAGAGTTTTAAGAGTTTGGAAAAGTCTAGCAACAACTATCATTAGCCTGTTGTGCACCTACAGCCTGACTCTTGCTGGCCATGCCAGTATCCCTGTCACAAAATGCACAGCATGGAGCCAGCAAAGTCTCGCAGAAAAGCAGCCTGCTAGCGAGGAACAGCAACTACATCTGTAGAAGAGAACACCACACAAACAAGGTACCTGCAGCTGGGGAAGAGACCACAGGGAGACGCAGCGTGATAAAATCACAAATACAATGAAGAGGATGAACAGGACACGATTATTCGCCGCTTCAAAGGGCAGTAACCAGTGGGATTACTACGCAGCACATTTCTTTTTCTGCTCAATGGCAATTGTTGCACAGAAGAAAGACCCAAGAAGGGATTAGACATGTTCCCAGCAGCCGGCTCTGAGTCGGGCGCCCTTGTGATGCTGCAGCTGGGGACATGCCTGGGCAGGACATGCCGGCTCCGCGCTCCCGTCCAGCGCCACCTCCACCCTCAGCATCCCGCTTTCCAAGTCCCAACTTCCATTAGGGCTTTGCTAAGACAGCAGTTTTTTTTCTTAGCTCTTGTCTCCAATGTTTTATTTTTACCTAAGCAGAGCAGTTGTTAAATGAACCTTTTAGACATCTCAGATCACTCGATGGGTGGTAAACGAATCCACCTGCCCTTAAAGATCTGCACTAATGGGTTCACACCTCTTCTGAGATTCATTAACAAGTTGTTAGCCAAACATGTATATCCTGAACAGCAACACATGCCTAGATTAGGCTCTGTAGAGGATTTTATCTGTTTCTTTTTTTAACACGGAGTAGTTTAGTACTTGCTGGCTAAGCAAAAATCCCATTATTCAAACAACAGATGAGCACAGTGAATAAGCTGCCCTTCTGCAATGCAGCTAATTTCTTAGTCACTTTAGACCACACAAGGAAGGAAACTACACCTGAAATGTACTATGGTAAACAGTGTTTTATACAGATTTGCTGTAAGTGTTGAAAATATGGGGAATTAATGAGACAGTTTATAAATATGTAAAACATACATCCACGTATGTTATATATAGTTTTGATTATATATTATGAAGTCATCCAAGGTGTGATACTGATGGGGATATTTCACATATGAACAGAAAAATATTTCTAGGGCAGAAGTTGTATTCCTAAATCTAAATATCCTGGTGGAGAGCAGCCGTGCAGCAGAAGCAGTTCCTAACAACGGAATGAGGGAGCCTCATTTTTTCTGCTGTGCACTTATTAAAAAAAAAGAGTGACTTCAGAGACATTTGAATCCTGAGAGCACCAGAGGATTTCTGATGCTGTCAGCCTCTCGTCCTGCGTCTCCCTCTGCTATTTAAAGCGTTTGTGTCAGGAGCCCAGAGTGACCCAGCGCTTGCACCTCGCAGCTGCTGCCCTCCCAGGAGAGCAAGGAGCTGCTCCGAGCTCCGCTCTGAACAAAGCAGGCAACGGAAATTCCAAAATTAAGAGACAAAATACGAAATCGTTGTGTTTAGAAAGTTGGCAAGGATTGCTTAGATTAACTTACTGATAGCTCCAAATCCATGCATATCTATATTAATATTTGTATTTGATAAGATTATCCCCTTTTACTCCAAATTAACATCCTTTCCACATCTTCACGTTATAGAAAAGATAGTAAATTCTATAACTGTTTGTATCTGGGAATCCTTGTGCATGAGTCAGTTGTACACAAAGCCAGAGGAGATGCTGAATATAAATATTGCTTCTACCTCTATATTTCTTCTGCTTTTTTGGAAATAAAAATGATTCCTTCTGATTTGGGAGACCCGAATGTTAGAAATGGCTGATTCTAACAAGATGTTACCAACAGATAACTTTTTTGTTTGTTTGTTTTACATATAGAATTTTCTTTATATCTGTTCAGGATTTTTTTAGTCATAAATGCTGCAAATGGATTTTGTAAAAACTACCTTTCCTATTTTTTTTCAACATAGTAGCTAAATGTCAGAAATGATCAGTTAAACGGAAAGGAAATCAAACCTATATTTATTAAGCTCTCCAGTAGGAAAACTATCTTTTTTTTTTTTTCATTTTTTTAATGTTAAGGATATAGATGGTAAACCAAACAAATGAACTGTCCTGAGCCAGCTGTCATTTTCAATGTTATACAGGTGATCACATGAATATTTATTATGTCCTCAGTTCTCCAAAGGTGCAAGAATTTTCATTCAACCAGCAGGCTCCAGCATATCGAATTTTAATTGAGAGAGTATATTCAGTGTAAACATCTGTAATTTAATTGGCTCTGAATAATCTGAAATTCAGTAAGCTTGAATATGGTGTGGTTTC